AAAGGCGTACTGTAAAGATGATTTCTTCCGGATGTTTGCACCGAAATGTAGCGGTTGTGGTAATCCGATAAAGATGAATTTTATTACAGCGTTGGACACTCATTGGCATCCCGAATGTTTCGTATGTCAGGTGATTTTATGAAAAATATTATTATCAATATTACTTTTCTTTAATTTATTAAAGAAATTAAATGGGAAGAAATGTGTTGAAATTAAGGAAAATAGAGAGAATAGTAATGTTCATAAATGTTTTTTTAATCATTTTTTTATTTTTTTCTTTCTTTTGTTTTATTGTTTTACCGTCTTGGAACAGTCAAAGCTATTGCTGTTAGTCTATAAGACGTTAAGCCGAACGTCGTTGAAAGGGTGTCAAAGAAAGAAAAAAGAATTAAAGCAAAGAGTTTTTTGTTACTTGTCATAATTTTTTTGGTTTACAATTTTAGTTTTGTTCAAGTAACCAATATTTTCAACTTTTACTTAAAGTAAGAATTCCAATAATTTTTATATAAAATCAATTACCACTAACATTACAGAGCTGGACTAAAGTTCTCTCTTGTGCGGTAAGCAGATAAAATAGTTTTTAGTAGTATCTGTAATGGTCTTTTGTGTCTTTATATATTTGTAGATATATATATATATATATATATATATATATATATATACATTGGAATGGTGTGGAATGTTTGTAATAGTTAAGTCGTGATGTTAGTTATAGTTAGTCGATTTGTTAGTTAGCTGCTTAGTTCAGTAGACAGTTAGTTGACTGATTGGCTGATCAATTAGTTTATGATCGTATAATTGGTTAGCTGCTGTTCAGTGCATTTGTCAGTTATTTGTGTTATTTGCAAGAGAAAAAAGAAGTTTTTAAACACTAAAACGGATTATGTTTGCGCAAACTTTAAACTTTAAATGTTAATGAAGAAAACGTTTCTCCATGTATCTTAAAGTTTCATCTGAGTTTTTTGGTTTAAGCAGAGTTTTCGGTATAAAATTGTTTGTTAAAATTGGACTACGCAGAGAAAGTTTAAACAAAAGGAAAAAAGTTGAGACAGTACTAAACAAAACTTCTCTAGAGGCATACGGAAGGAACCTGATTCATATTCTGTATCAGATGATTGTTTTAGGCAGAACACAGCAACAACTAGTTTGTAGACTAAGCCTGAGCCGTTAGCAGACAAAGTTACAAAAGCTAAGGGTAGAACGTTCTAAGGGTTAATTGTTTTGATTTGTTCTACTATCCTCTGCAGAACTTTAAATGCACCACACATTTCACCCACTTAGCAGCATTATTCATCACTGATACTAAAAAGCCAGGTCTTTTTGATCTGAAAGAAAATATTGTGTTCCGTACTGAACTGTTTGCTTATGACTAATTCGCTACACATACACACATCCACACATATTCACTCTCTCTCTTTCTTTTTTTTTT